GGTGGGAGGGGGCGCAGGTGGCAGGGGCTGCTGCTTCTCCCAGGAACTTTCTGTGGCTCGGTTTTGGCCAGACTCGCCAGCACTTCCCCTGCCCCCCCACCTGCTCCCTTATGAAGCAAATAGAGGTCTGCTGGCGGAGAATCTAGGGCCAGCCAGGCACTAATCCTAAAGGCTGGGAATGGAGGACACTGACTCAAGGCCAGCCCCTTAGTGAGAAGGGGCCAGTGCAGCCCCCGGGATGTCAGGGCTGAAGGCCTCCATCTAGGGTGATGCTGTTTGGTGTGTTGTCAAAAGGCTGGGCAGCAGGGGCCCAGGCACAGCCTGCTCCGAGGCACAGACCTGTGGCTGCTTCATGGCTGAACTACATTTCCCAGCCTCCTTTGCAGCTAGGCAGGTCTCCTAACTGTGTTCTGGCCAAGAGAAATGGGCAAAGGCCATGGCTCCTCCCCCTGGTGGGTGCCCAGCTCCTGGTTCCCCACCTGCTGGCCGGGAGGAAGGGCAGCCTCCAAGGACCGAGGGGGAGGCAGAGCAACAATACGGCAGGGGCCTGGGCCGGGGCAGCACTTGGAGGGGAGCTACCCAGGACAGCCCCTGGACCAGAACGGGCCCTGGACTGCGGGGAGCCAGAGGCAAACGCTGCCGACTCTGAAGCCGGCTCAGCGTGGGCTGCCTGTCAGCCACTCGGCCTGCTCTGAGGCAAAACCTCCTGCTGCCGTTGGAGCGTCCCTGACCCCAACCCCAGCCTCAAGCATCTGAGCAGCAAGATCCTCGAGGGACACCAGGTGCCCTGCCCCAGGACAGCTCCCCATCTCTGGGCCCAGCAGGCACCCCCTGACTCACCAATGATGCCGAAGGAGAAGAGCGTCAGCTGCTTCCCCAGCTTGTCCATGCTCCTCTGCAACGGGGTTTTAGGCGTCTGAAGGGGAGAGGCCGACGGGCTTAGTAGAGGGACCCCACCGCGTGCCCTCGCTGTCCTATAGCTTGCTCTGAGTGACAGTCACACAGAGCACACAGGGGCCATCCACTGGCCTCTGCCCTGGAGGTCGGTGCCCATGGACGTCTGAGCACCCTCATCAATGCTCTAAATGAAAATTAAACTAGAACTTGGCTCCCACGCGCCCGCCTCCGTGCCCAGGCTGGGCAGGGCCAGTCTGCACCCAGGGCAATTTCAAACCCAGAGCCCCGCCCCTTACCTCTTCCGCCTGCATCATCCTAAACACTTCGCCGAACTGAGACTTCTCCCCGGTTCCGATCACGACGCCCTGTGTCCAGGAGAGGGTGGGGGAGAGGCGTCAGGGGAGGAGCGAGGCTGGGCGCGGGGAGGCCCCGGAGCCCAGGGCTTACCTGGCCCTTCCCACACTGCACCAGGGTGCCCATGAAGACGATGTTGGGCAGCGAGCTCAGGTCCTCCCCGCCTGCCAAGGGGGTGTCCGTCTTGCTGCAGGGCTCGGCCTCCCCAGTAAAGCTGGACTCGTCCACCAGGAGGTCTGTGACCTAGGGGACCAGGGGAGACCCGTGGAGCTCCCCTCTGGCACTGCCTGTTGGTATCAGAAGCCCAGTGGCACCCAGCACCTTGACAGACGTCCAACGGCAAAGGGCCGCAGCTCAGGGAGTGAGGATCGACTCCGGCCTCCCCGCCCCGGAGCGAGAGGAGCTTCGGACCAGGGTCCCTGCTCCCGGCTGGCAGGCTTGCCGTCTGTGGGGCGCTTGCCAGGGAATGTTGGGCACTCTGCATCCACAACCTCCCTGCGGGCATCATCACCCTCTTCAACAGGAGGAGACGGAGGCACAGAGACCTTCAGTGACTTTCTCAAGGTCACACAGCTTGGATCACAGACAGGGTTCAAACCCAGGCTCAAGCTCAGGCCTACGGCACCAACCGCCTCCACCCGTGGCCTCTCCCTGTCCTACAGCGTCACTGAGGTGGTCAGGAGTCCTCCTTATTGGCTGCCTGGAGGAGCCCCTGTGGTACGAGGCCTCCCAGAGCAGTGGTTCTCAGTGGACCTGTGGACGGGGCTTGGCCACGTGACAGTGGTTTCTCCCACACGCCCCAGACACCCAGCAGACGCTGAGGGCTAGCGCTGGGCACGGAGACAGAGGGGGAGCCCACCTGGCGCCAGGCCCAGCTGCTATGGGTCTGTCCACTGGGAGACGCCGGCCCTGCCTGGGGTCTAGCAGGGGGACTAGGTGTGGCTTCCTCCCTCTCTGCCCCTCGAGGGTCCCGACGTGGCCTGTGGACACGCCTGGCAGGCCGCCTGCCCTCACGCCTGCCCCACGGCTGAGAGCTCGCTCGCTCTTGGCGGGATCCCAGGACAGACCCCCACCCAGCGCGTGGGCCAGACGTCACTTCCCCTGAGCGCCAGGAGCCCGGCACGGCCCTGCAAGGCTGTGACAGGGACCCACAGGGTCACAGACTGGCCCCTGCCCCACGGAGGTGCCCCTCTGCGTTCCCTGCTCCGTCTCCCTCGCGGCCAAGGCAGCCCAGCCCACGTGATCCAAGGTCCACGTCGCCCCCCACCCCCACCCCGGCTTAGCGCCCACAGTCGCTCCCGCTAGAGCCCCTCACCAGCCTCGTCCTCGTCCACGGGGACACGCTCCGAACCCCCTGTGGGTGTCTGGACCTCAGGTGGCACCGAACCACATAGATGCCGGTCCACCCCCCCCCAACACACCAACCCTGGGGACGCCGAGCTCATAAACTAGGCGAGTAGGTGACCAGCAGTGGGGAGCAGCAGTGGGGACCAGCAGTGGGGACCAGCAGTGGACATTAGCAGTGGAC